TTCTTCTAAATCGAAGTTCCAAATCGAAGTTCTTTCCACTCCAAAGAATTTATAGTTCTTGCTAATAGGCAAAGAAGAATTGGAAAGAGAGTTTTAGGGCCGTAGTTGTTATTTCTTAAAGGAAAGGAAGTAAAATAATTTGGAAAAAGGCAATGCAAAGCTGTTGCCATAAACTGGATAATTAGGAGTTTTGCCTTTGCAATCACCCATTTTTATCTAGTTGCAAAGGAAATGCGTATGGGGCAATTTCTCTTAAAATACCTTTTCTGTTCAGCATTTTTGGTCAAGCAATAAGGGCAAGCATTTCATTTGTGTAGTTCCAACTACTGCGGCCCACAAGCCAACACAAAATGCTTACAGTGCTCTTCATTATTTGTGTAGTTCCAACCAGTGCGGCCCTTCTGCTGCGGGGAGACACCATAATCACGAAGGTGGTCTTCCCGGGTGAGGCTCATCCACTGCACTCAGAGTGTGCTGACCCCTGCGATTAAAATCATCGATAAAAAGAAGTGCTTCTACGAAAATGTAGAGGACCAAAGCAGGGTCTCTTCCAAATGTAGGATTTTGTGATTCAGGATTCTATGATTCAGTAGAGACAGGCTAGCCATCTGTCAGGAAGGCTTGGATGGTGCATTCCTGCCTAGCAAAAGGAGATTGGATTGGATGGCCTCTAGAGCTAATACATGTCGACGAGCGCAGACCTCAGGGATGCGTGTATGAAATGGAGTTGGGGGGGAGGGTTTCCATTCAAAAATGGGAAATTAACCAAAAAGCTCACAGCAGCCAAGAAGACATTTCAAACATGAGAATTTCTACGTTTTCCGAAACGGCACGGCAAGAGAAGACTCACAGAAGTGCCTTGCAAGAAATCGTGCCTGACAAGAAGAAACAACGACTACTTGCATAAGGCTTCCCAAATCCACCGAGAAACTTTAGAAAGCTAAATGGATCTTGGGATCGAGCTGGCGGTCCGCCACGAGGCGAGCTAACGCCTCTCAAAGGGTGTATGAAATAATATTCATTTTTGGTTACTCTAGATAACCTGGGTCCGATTTGATTTGATTTGATTGATTGATTTGATTTGATTGATTTGATTTGATTGATCTTGGGATCGAGCTGGCGGTCCGCCGCGAGGCGAGCTACCGCCTCTCAAAGGGTGTATGAAATAATATTCATTTTTGGTTACTCTAGATAACCTGGTTCCGATTTCATTTGATTGATTTGATTTGATTGATTTGATTGATTTGATTTGAAGCTGCGAGGCCATTCAATGCTAATCAAGGTGGCCAATGGCAGCATTCACAATTGCCTCCAACAGACAAGGGTTCTTTCTCCCACCCTGGACCTTCTACAGCCAGGCTTTGAAGCTGCGAGGCCATTCAATGCTAATCAAGGTGGCCAATGGCAGCATTCACAATTCCCTCCAACAGACAAGGGTTCTTTCTCCCACCCTGGACCAAAGGGTCTTTGCAATTATTCAAATGAACAAATGAAACGAAAGTCGGAGGTTTTTTTTTTTTTTGGATTTGTTAATTTTTTTGAGGTTATTCATATTTATTTTCATTACTCTAGAACGAAAGTCGGAGATTCTAAGACGATGAGATAAATAATCAATAAAAGAGGGGAAAAACTTTTTTTTCCTTTCATTCTGCCATGAGAGTGAGTCCCTGCAACATGGACTTCATTCTTAAAGGACCGTTTTAAGTTACCTCTTGGCACAAATTCTGAGTTTTTTACAATAATGTAGAGTAGATATTAATGTTAAAGAAAGACATATAGATTGGTAGATAATATGATAGAAATTCTTTAGAGTAATTCCAAGAGTGGTCATCAATCACAAACCTGTAATATACAGTATTTGGGTGACCCTCCCGAAGCTGTTGTGATGAGTTGGGGGGGGGAGGGCACAGGAGTGCTG